CTGTGCTCTGTCCCATGGCTGGGCAGGGCTGTGCAATGGGGTAAGGGATGGTGAGTGGGGAGGTTGGTTTTCCTCCTTTCCCTTCCTGCTGTGCCTGATCCTTGGTTGCCCCAGACTGACTCCATCTTCCCCTTTTTCTCCTGTTGCATTCAGTGGAGGATGGTGAGGATGAGCTTGTTAAAAAGCCCAGGTAAGGGGAGCGTGTGCTGGGTTGGCAGTAGGAGCTACAACATGCCCACCCTGGGCTCAGCCCACCTGGCTGCTTCATCCTCACAGCTTGCAGTCACTCTAGAGAAGCTCTTTTCCCTGTTGCTCTTTCTTTTCTCCTCTCCTTGTCCTCCACCCTCAGGTCCCTCTGTCTTCTCCATCTCCCCGGAGATGAGCTGCTGGCAGAACCGCAGAGCGTGACCTGTGCTCACCCCACAAGAGGCACTGCCAATGCTCAGCCACTGTTCTGACCATCACCTTGGGAGGGTCCTGCCCAGGCACCCACCTGCCAGATGGGGTCCCCAAATGGGGTGTCCCTGTGCTGGGTAGGACCTGCTGGGCACTGCTGGCATGGAGCTGGGGAGGCTGAGATGCAGCACTGTGTACTGGACACAGTGGGTGGGGGTGGCTGGTGGCACTGCTAACACCTTGATTGGGGTGTTGGGAGTTCCTGGGCAGGGACTGGACCTGGGGTACGATGTTTTGGTGGGCTGTAAGGCTAGTCAGGAGTGAATGCTGATGGTATTTCTGTAAAGGCTTGTGTATCCCTGAGCTGGTGGGGCATACGGGAAGGATGGGCTAAGCCATGGGTCAACCACTGACTGTTGTGCCACCGTTCTTTCTGATACCACAGGGATGCCTGTGTGTCCAGCTGGGGTACAGGGCAACAGCAATGAGTGCCGGGGTCGGGCAGAGGTGTTGGCATGTGCCAGGGCACCTTTGGGAGCACTACCCTGTGCTGAAGCAGGGTCTGTGCTTGGTGCTGGCTGAGCTCCTGCCCTCTGTCACTCACAGGCAGCCCCCTCAGCTGCTGGAGCCCCCCAGCAGCCCCGTGTGCGACCCTGTGAAGCTGCGGATGTTGCAGGACATTGATGACTCACAGCCCCACACTTGGACCTCCCAGTCCCGCTCCTTCCGCAAACTGGCCCGGCTGGTGGGCGCAGACAGCAGTGAGTTCCCGTGTGGCCTGGCACTGGCTGACAGGCTGAGTGTGCTCAGCTTTGCTGGGGCATCTGGAACTGGATAAAAACCGTGGTGTGTTGTGGCAGTGGGGCATTGGTTTTGGCCCCATGTGGGCCCTCTGTGGCAGCTGAGCCAGTGGGAGCTGCCCAGGGCTGTGTGCAGGCTCATGGTGGTGCCACTGGTCTGGTGCCATCCTCTGCCTCATGGTTGGGCAGGGCTGTGCATTGGCACAAGGGGGCAGCAGGGGGAGAGGGCATTTTTCCTTCCTTTCCCTTCCCTTTCCTTCCTGCTGTGCGTGGGCCTCCGGTGCCACAGACTGACTCCATGTCCCCCTTTCTCTCCTGTTGTGCTTAGTGGAGGATGGTGAGGATGAGCTTGATAAAAAGCCCAGGTAAGGGGAGCATGGGAATTGGTGGCAGTAGGAGCCACAAGGTGCCCACCTGGGGCTCAGCCCACCTGGCTGCTTCATCCTCACAGCTTGCAGTCACTCTGGGGATGCTCTTTGCTCTGTGCAGATTCTTTTCTCCGTCTTGGTCCTCTCCATCTCCCAGACTCGGGCTATTTCCAGTGCTGCACAAGAGGCACCACCGGTGCTCAGCCACTGCTCTGACTATCGCCTCAGGAGGGTTCTACCTGGGCACCCAGCTGTCAGACAGGCTGTCCCCATGTGAGGTGTGCAGGCAGGATCCTCTGGGCACTGCTGGCATGGAGCTGGGGAGGCTGAAGTGCAGCACTGTGGGCTGGACACAGTGGATGGGGATGGCTGATGGCACTGACAGCACCTTGCTGGGAGTTTTGGGGGCTGCTGGGCTGCAACTGGTCTTGGGGCATTATGTTCCATGCGGTTGTGGAGCAGCTGCAAGGCTGGTTGGGAGTCAGTGCTGCCAGCATTTTCACATGGCTTGTGCCTTCATGGGACTGAGTACATATGGGAAGGATGGGCCGAGCCATGGATCCACCATTGACAGTTCTGCTGCTGTTTTTTCCAATGCCACAGGGATGCCCATGGGTCCAGCTGGGGTATGGTGGAGCAGCGGTGAGTGCCAGGGTCTGGCAGAGGTGTTGGCATGTGGCGGGGCACCTTTGGGAGCACTACCCTGTGCTGAAGCAGGGTCTGTGCTTGGTGCTGGCTGAGCTCCTGCCCTCTGTCACTCACAGGCAGCCCCCGCAGCCGCTGGAGCCCCCCAGAAGCCCCGGGTGTGATCCTGGGAAGCTGCGGATGTTAGAGGACGCTGAGGACTGGCAGCCCCGCACCGGGACCTCCCAGTCCCGCTCCTTCCGCAAACTGGCCCAGCTGACGGGCACAGATGGCAGTGAGTTCCTGCAGGGCCTGGTGCTGGCTGGGGGTGATGAACTGTGTTAGCCAGAATCTGACAGAGGCTGTGGGGTGATGTGTCACTAAAGGTTTGGTTTTGGCTCCCTTAAGGGCAGCTGAGCCAGCAGGAGCTGCCTGGGGCTGTGTGTGAGCTCGTGGTGGTGCCACTGGTCTGGGGCTGTGCTCTGTCCCATGGCTGGGCAGGGCTGTGCAATGGGGTAAGGG